AGCAAGGCTTTCCGTAATTAGCCACTTGTGCGCAAGACGGTTTCACCATCAACTGGCGTTGTTAGTGTTTCTCTGCCAGACGACCGCGCTTCGGGATGAAACGGAGCCTATGGGGACAAGTCCATGGGTTTCATGAAGAGGCACCACCTGATCGTGACCCAACAAACTATCATAAGGTGAAAACTTGCCAAGGTTGTGGAGATATTGTGCGCGTTGTTAAGATTGCAGCGCATGACGTTCCACGTAGCGACAAGAAGCTAAAGGTTTCCGACGAAGAATTACAGCACTTGCAAGCAAGTGTGTTCGAGCGCCGACATATCTTTATGCGACGCCGTTCTTCTCATCTAGTCGTCTTTGTGCGGATTTGGCCAAATATTATGGCAGTGTTGAAAAGCTACATGCCATGGCGTTCACCGACGCCGGTCGGCTCAAGTTGTGTTCAGATATCATTAATGTACGTAGAACCGTTGGCTTGTCGATTCGCATGTCAAACACCCGCGACACCGACAAATTCACAATGGCACAGCGCAGTGCTTTTGAGGCTCACGACGCCGTCACAGCAAAAACATCATCCCTGGAAGATTTACGTGTTCTGTATCTGAACGTGTATTTGTCGAGGACTGCCCTTTCTGAGCAATCAAGAAACGCCCTGGCCACGAATGCCTTCCCATTCTTCCAGAACGACGTCTTCTCTTTAGGCATGGGTGCTTTTCTGGACAAGATTACTGACGTCTTACTGCATCTCTTCAAAGCCACGCCCTTTGCCCCGCGTAGGCGGGCCCTGATGCCTCATGCAAACTGGGTGGAGAACCGCGCTCTGTATCTCAAGGTTGGCCATAACCTGCGCGCACAAGAGGACGCATTGGTGTTTGCAGCTGCTCTTGCCGATTGTTCATGGCACGATCTGACGTCGCCAGCGAAAATGGAAACGATTATTATTGTTGGGGCGCCACAGTTTGGCATTTTCAGATCAACAGAAATTTGGATTGGTGCTGCTGAAATCATGCTGAAGAACCCGGACCGGCATCGTCTCTCACCGGCTGACACTTCGAGGGTCTCGGAGGAGCTGCTAGCAGTGGGCGAACCTGGACCTGGCCCCCGCCGCGTCGTCCGATTCGTCGCTGGCGATCCCGCATCCAAAGAGCCTTCTAGCATCGCAGAAGTTCAGAAGTACAAGAACGTCGCTGAGAGCATTCTGAAACGCTTCCAGATGCGTTTCAAGATCGATGGGGCCATCCAGGCTTGGTCTCAAATTTGCGAGGCATCCAAAGGAGTGGCCGATTTATTATGTGGAACAGGCGCGCCCTACGAGCCGTTCAAGGGCTACGCGCCCCCTTCGCAGAAAGATGCAATGGGCGTAGAATTTCACGATTCGGCCACTGTCCGCAAGAGAATGACTATGCTGGTCAATCGTATCTTTAGTAAATACCCGACACTGGAGAACAAGCTCCGGGGCAAATTGCCGCGGTAGTGTTTGGCCTCGGACTCCGCGCTGCGCTGCGCCCGCAGCCTTGGACCTAGAAGTGCGCGGGCACGATCCGCCCCGGAACGCCCCTCGTTTGGGATGGGCCGTCGTCGTCGTCGTCGTCGTCGCCGCCGTCGCAGGAGGGAGGCCACGACTCTCGCCAGGGAGCTGGGCTTCACCGAGTTGATCCGCGAGGCATGACCTGGGGAGCGGCCCGCCCGAGCCGCGCCATGTCCAGGCTGTCCAACAGTTCGGCCGGGCGCCGCGGACGACCTGTGCGAGTCGCTGGGGCCCTCTCGGGGCGACCAGCGTGCTTCGCGGGGACTCCGTGCTGCGCGCTGCCAAGCGCCTCGTTCGCCCGTCGTCGCTCTGCCCGGCGGCCAGAGCCTTGCCCGCTCCCAGCCAGCCAGCTAGCTCGCTTTGCTCCGCGCCGCGGACGACCCGCGTGCGTTGCTGGGACCCCCTCGACCGGTGCGCGTCGCGGGGACTCCGCGCTGCGCTGCGCCCGCAGCCTTGGGCAGTGGAACGCGCGGGCAAAGACGGAGAAAAAGAGCGGGAGGAAGCGGGGGCGATCCACGCGAGGGGGGTGCCGATATGGGCGTCGACATTCATGCACGTAGATTCCCCCGCACGCAGATTCATGCACAATCAGACCCACTCGTGCTCAGACTCACCCGCTCTCAAGCTCTCGTTATCAGACCTATCGTCTTCGTCCGCGTTGCGTTCCCCGCCATGCATCGGCGCGCCCCGCACGCGGTTCTTGGCCTCATAGGGAGCTCCACCGAAGACGAGATTCACAATTGCGGCGCTCTCAACTGCGTATGGCTGGGTCTTTCGCCAGGCTAATTTTTCAAGGTCGCCCTATCAAGCCTGCCCCCTCCCTCCCACCTCTGCCTCGACACTTCCTTGTCCGTCCACCATCCTCCTTATATTTCCTCCACTCGGCGTCGGGGGAAGGCCGTCGCGCAGCAGTTTCGGCTTAGGCTTGGCGTCAGCCATTTTGGCTTGACGCCCCCCAGGCAGTGCAGGCGCAATGGCAACGGAAACCTTAGGAATGATGATCCAATGTGTATGGCGGTTAAAACGGGCAGTGGCGCCCAGGGGGTACGTTTAAAAACAAGCACAATAAGTTATCGGAAATCTCTTTTTCAAACTTACCCTTTGTTTGCTTTTGCACAACAGACCATACTTAAGCCCCCCTTCCTCACCACCGAAGGAATATCCCAGGAAGCCTTCGAGGGCCCCAAATCATCGAACACCCAGTGGAAATTGATAAGTTCGTGTTTTCCGCATTTCCCGTTCTATACGCGCGCAGGGACTCCGATAAGGTCGTTCGATGCATTAGACACGTCAATATTTGAGATCCCGTGCGATACGTAGCCTGTCAAGCCAAGCTTGAACATGAGCGCGCGCGAAGCGCGCGCGCGATGGTTCGACTGTATGTATATGTATGTGTACATCTCTATATATGGATATTCAGTGGGTGCTGGGGGGGGGGTGCGCAGATATGTATATATGTGTGTGTTATATATATATATATATATATATATATATATATATATATATATATATATCACTCCCCCCCTCTTTCTTTATGGTATATCACATACCCATTATCTCCTTCTCCCCCTCTCGGGACCGAGCATTCCACCTCCATTCGCAGGTTGCCCACAAACCTTGGAAGCCCCGTGACAGGCCTGCCTGGTATCGGTCCCGAGACGGCCCACGAGGGCCCGAAGCCTTCCGGGGGGCTCCACGACGATCCAAGAGGCCGCAAAAACGCCCCAAGAGGGCTCCGAGCGCAAGCCAAAGAGGCACAAATCGTCAAATTCCCATCGGAAAGCGTATATTTTCAGCATGCCCGCCTTGTGTGCTCCTCAGCGGCCCAGGACACGCCAAGAGGCTTCCCAAATCGCCCCAAGAAGACGCCAGCGGCCCCTAAGAGGGCTCCACGACGGCCCACAAGAGCCCCAAGACGACGCCAGAGAACCCTGAAACGGCCTCACAGAGCCCCAAGACGGCCCCAAGAGAGCTCCCAAGGGGCCCCAAGAGGCTCCCAAGACGGCCTCGGGCAACCCCAAGAGAGCTCCAAGACGGTCCAAGGCCTCCAGGACGCCCCGTGACGGCTCAAAATGGCCCCAAGACGTCCCAAAACGCTCCCAGAGCAGCCCAATGTGGCCGAATGAGAAGCTCCGAATAATGTGCAAAACGCTCCCAGGAGGCCGAATAAGAAGCTCCGAGAAGCTCCCAGACTATCCCTAGGAGAAGGCAGCGCCCGCCTTCAGGTTTCTACAGGACAACCAATGCAAAATCCAGAGCCTGCGAGCCGTACCCCGGAAACGCTTCGTGGCCGCATCCGGACTGCTGCCCTTCTCCGTGGGTGCGGGCGCCCACCGTCACGCTTCACCCAGGCAGCTTGGAAGAACTGACTACAGCTTTCCGGGCGCACCCCGCCCACGGGTCCTCGCCGCTCTCAGACCGCTGCTCTTCTCCGTGGGTGCGGGCCCGAGAGCGCGAAGGTACACGCGTACGGCACGGAGCCGCGCCGTGGAAGCGCACCAGGGGGACCTGAAGGTCGTGGGCGAAGTCCACGGGTTCGCCCTAGTCTCTACTACATTGCAGGGCCCAGTGCGTGCCAGAATGGCGCAGGCCCCAATGCACCGAAACCGCCCCGGGCTGGCCCCGGGCCGCCCCGGGCCGCCCAGGCAGGCTCCAGGACACGTCGAGAGGGCCCCCAGAAGCCCCCAAGACGGCCCCGGAGAGCCCCGGCACGCTTAAAGATGGGCCCAAGACGCCCGAGATTCGCCCCAGGCGGCCCAAGAGGCGTCCAAGACGCCCGAAGAGGCCTCCCAAGAGGCCTCCCAAGAGGGCCCCGAGCGACAGAAATCGTCGATTTCTATTGTGTTTTTCGATGTTTTCGGCCTCCTCGCCTCTTCGGCTTCCCGACGCTCCAAGACGGCCCAAGAAGTCCCCCCGACCGCTCCAAGACGGCCGAAGAGGACCCCAAGAGAGCCCCAAGACGGGCCAGGAGGGCCCCCAGACGGTCCCAAGACGCCCCAGGACGGCCCCAGGACGGCCCAGAAGGCGCCCAAGACGGCCGAAGAGGCACCCAAGACGGCCCCAGGAGCGGCCCAAGACGGCCCAAGACAGCCCAAGAGGCGCCGAGGCGGGTTTCAGACGGCCCCAAGACGGCCCAAGAGGCACCCAAGACGGCCCGAGAGGGCCCTAAGAGCCCCCCGGGAGGCCCAAACGAAGGCCGAAGAGGCTCCGAAACGGCCCCCACAAAGCCTTCAGTGCCTTCAGAATTCCCTCCAGGAGCGGGGGAGCGGACGAGAGGCGACAGGCATATCGCAGGCAAAAACGCCCCAAGAGATCCCCAAACGGCCCCCACGAAGCCCTAAATGGAAAGCCAAGCTGGAGCCCGACGCCATCATGATTGCCTTTCGGCCCTGCAGCCGCACCCCCCCGCGCTTGCCCAGAGACCCCTCGCCACGTCGAGCTGATGTCGTGGACGGAGTCCACAGGTCTGCCTTAGTCAGCTACAGCGCTGGGATCAGCGCGTGCGAGAAAGGCGGACA